CCTATCCACACATTCTTTCTAGGGGAAAATACTACCATTAGCAATAACTCCTTCAAATATAATTAGCAGTGAAGCTATCTTGTCTACTAATATAAAAGCCACACCTTTGAATTTCTATTTATTCCAGCAACAATCCAGACTATAACAAATATGTGAAGAATCAGGGAGTGGAATATTCAGGAAAAAGTACAGGAGTTATGAATATTTCTTTATAACACTTTTCCCAATTCAAATAAACAGTGGCTTATTAAACAGCCCAGAAGACTGTACCCGGTACTGTGCTAGACACATGAGATTTAGATTGAAAAAGATACAGTTCTGCTCTCAGGGTTGGTTCACATTCTAGTGGCCATGTGGGACCACCAAGGCCTGTGTCTTCCTGTGCTTGGGCTTGTGGTGAAAACAGTGTGTAACAGAGATACTGAGTAGATAAGAGTGCATAAGAAGAAAACAAAAGTATGTCATTATATGAAAATTAACCCCAAGGCCCTTTAAAGCAATTGAAGGAACAGACATAAACAGGCCATTTCAGTATTTTGGGTGAGGAGCTAAGACAGGGGTATACCCAGGTATTATTGCTGCTCAGAGGAGAGGTTCTCTGCCAGAAATCAGGGAAGCTATGGATGTGATTTTCCATATTAACTGGATCCTGAAGCGAATGAGGGATCGTCAGGAGATGGGCAGGGGAAGCAACAGCAGAAACAGGAACCCCAGAGTCAAGCTACTGTGTGGATGAGGAACTATAAACAGCTAATGACATGACTAGGAAAGCATAGGCGATGACTGACAGAGGCCAAGCCAGGAAGGCCTTCAGAGCCCGCCGGGCAGCTTACATTTCACCCTAAAGGTGACGGAGATCCACCAAAGGGTCTTAGACAGGAGCATGTGATGGTCAGATTTGTGTTAGATAAATGCTGATAAAGGATTTAGCAAAGTATCAGGATTGGGTGCTGTTCTGTGTAACAGTGGCTTATGCTGATCAGGGTTTGTCTTCCCACAGAACAAGAAGTCCAGATGTAGGCAGTTGCTCAGTGGCTCAGACACTTATCTCCCTTCTGTCTTTTTGCTTTGCCATGCTTTTGTCCTCATTGTTGTCACCTCATGGTCAGAAGATGGCTGTCCAAGCTCAAAACATCACAACCATGTTGAAGACAGCAAGGATGGGGAAAGATGCCACTATTCCCTTTACTCACCAGTGTGAAAGCCCTCCCAGAAATGACCAGCCTTTCAGCAGACTGATGGCGGTTAGGTCAGGACTATACTAGATGGTCATCTCTAGCTGCAAGAGAAGCTGAGAAAGCAATCATCTTCTTATTGCTATAGCAGATTTGTGCAAGGGAGAAGAGGCTGGGAATAAGTGTTGGGTAGCCAACCTACTCTTACCCAACACTTGGTGAAAAAGGAGTGGATATTATTGCCATTAACCAAAACTGAAAACTCAGAAATTCTGAGTAATGGATCTAATTCTTCTAGTTGTGGGTTTGAGGTATCATCCAAAAGGGATGTTCAGTAGGGAGTTGGATATAAATTAAAAACTCAAGTGAAGGCTTAGGGCTTGGGATATAATTTGAGGTCATTAGAATATAGGTAGGATGCAGGGTAGGATGCCCTACATTCTAATGACCCCCAAATATATCCCAAGCGCTACTCAGAACTTCTGAGATGTGCATGGTTTTTTGTCTGCCTCACGTAATTACTGTTTGGCATGAGTCTGTGGAGATGTGCTAATTTGTACAACTATTCTTTCTACATGCTCACACACCCATCCTGGAATTTAAAGGGTAGTAAAGTTATGCAAAGAATCACCGTGTGCAACACGAACCAGGACATTTCCTGCCAAGCGCGCCTCTAATACAAACATGGACACACACCAGTCAGTGCTATACATAGAACTTGCTCTTGAATACCAACATCTAATTGCTGCACTGTGAAGCAAACGTGTTTTCATTCTTTCATTAACAGGAACTATCATCATTCTGGAAGTCTTGGTATGTACTACAGAAGTATAACCACACAAAAAACACAAAGGTGGAGGCTCTTGCTGAGGTTTATCAGCAAGACATCTGGTACCATCCCTGGCTTGGGATAAAAACCCTGCATCTAAATAATCTTACCTCTCAAGCAATGCTCAGATATACTGTGAAGACCCAATACAAGAGAGCTAAAAACTCCTATAGAAGTTTGCTCTAGCCTCCAGGCTAAAAGGGGCCTCTGCTTCTTAGCCAGTCTGGCCAGTCACGGAAATCCTCCTCTGGAAATATGGATACAAGAGAAGTATTTCTTCAGTAGTATTTACTTTGACCAGTGAAATAGCTATGACAAATTTTTTCTTTCCCCCAAGACACAAAGTGACATTTTAAAGGGAAAACCACTCTTTGGGTGCCATAGAGTCTTTTAAAAATAAAATTAGATGAAGAGCTTGAAGGAATAGGTCTGCTGAGGCACAGCTGTCCAAAGCCTTGTGTTTCAAGGGGCATTTGGCCACTTCACGCAGACAGGGAACCAGGACTGCTCAGCTCAGCCTCTTCCTTGGCTCTACTTCTTGGTACTCAGCATCAGATTCAAAACTTATAACATCCTCTTGGCTCAAAGGCCCTTTTTGCCTGTTTTGCTGCTAAACCCATGCTACATTGCAGTGTTTCCCTTTTTCATATTTATGCTTTGTTTTCCCAGGTTATGAGTTCCTTGAGGTCAGGATCACATCTTGTACTCCGTTATTTCTTGCAGAGTTATATTTGTCATGATAAACTTATAGGACACAGTTTTTGAATGGATGAATGAAAGAATGACAAAAACTGGACAGCAGTGGTAGGTGAGTTGCTAGGCAACTTGGTAAAGAGGATTAGAAAACTCAGGTCAGGTTAGCAGGAAAGGTGGTGTAGGGGAAAGAATGTTTTATGGAGCCAAAAGACATGGATCCTAGCCCCAGGTTTGCTTGCTTGTCTTCTCTCATTCGACAAACATTTCTGTAAGCTTCATTCACTGAGCTAGTCAGGCACGGCGGTAGGCTGTGAATAAAACAAAGTCTCTGCCCTCAAAGTGTGGTGGTGGTGGTGAGGGGGACATGTGACAACCAGGGATTATAGAGATATGATAGCGGCCAGCAGAGAGCACATGGGACATGAGAAGGGGCTTCTAAATCAAACTGTGCTTTCCAGAAAAGCTTCCTGAAGGATTTTGATTCAAGTCTTGAAGGACGAGTGAGTGTTGGCTAGATGTGTTTGGTTGGGAAAAGCATCGTAGGTAGAGGGACTAGCATGTGAAAATGTTCCAAACCATAAAAGAGGAGGTTGCAATGGAAAACTAGTCTCAGCTGAAAGAATGGCTATGGCCGGAGCTGAGCTTAGAGAGGTAGGCTAGAACTACCTCCCAAAGGGCCTTGAGGCCATATGATTTAGTGCTTTAAGAGCAGAGGTTTAGAAATCATACAGAACTGAGTTCACATCCCAGCTCTGGTGCCAGCCATGTAACAATAACTGACTTCCCTCTCCCCCCACCCCAAATCTTAGTTATGTTAGGATCGTGTCTGGCTGTAGTACTTAGCTATTGCTGCATAACAAGTTATCCCAAACCATAGCAGCTTGAAACAATACACATGTATTCAATTCTTGCAGTTTCTCTGGTTCTGGAACCTGTGTCCTGCTTAGCAGGGTCCTCAGCTTCAGAGTCTCTCACAAAGCTGCAAAGGGCCAGCCAAAGCTAAGGTGTCATCTCAAGATGTGACTGAGGAAGGATCTACTTCCAAGCTCACTTACATGGTTGTTGGCAAAATATAGTGCCTTGCTGGTTGTTGGCCAGAGGTTGCCTCAGTTCCTTGCCATGATGGCCTTCTCAACATAACAGCTTCCTTCATCAATGCCAGTGAGAATCAGCTAGCAAGACAGATGTAGCCTAATCAGTGAAGTGACTTATCACTATTGCCACATTGTATGGGTTAGAAGTCACAAGGCCAGCCCACACTCCAGGGGAGGGGCTTAGACTGGGCACCAACACCAGGAAATGAGGAATATTCGGGGCCATCTTAGGGTCTACCCGACCCACTAACCTATAGCTTATTACCACTAAATAGCTGTTAGCTATGATGATGATGATGATGATGATGATGATATAATGATGATGTTCAGTTGAGAGTGTTGGAAAAGCTGGAGAGCCAGTGGAGGGTTTCATATTAAGGAGTTACTTAGGTGACCATAGGCAAGTCAAATCACCTCATGTCTTTGAGCCTTCATTTCCTCAATATAATGAAAATACCTATCCCCCAAAGAAATGAGAACATATATGTACCAGCAGAAATACATTTTGTGACACCAAATACATAACTTTCCACAGTCTGAGGAAGCAAACTGCTTGGGCCAATTTTCCATTTTGCATCAATTCTGTCTCATAGTCTGATATCTTCAAAGTTTTTAGGGCTCGGCCCTGTGGGCCCAAGAGAATTTGTACAACTGGAATAAACACCTACAAACAGAAATCTATCTTTTGAGAGTCCCTGAAGGCAATTCCAAGGGTTTGCTTTTTTCCTTCTTATAAAATACCTTTGCTACCAAGGACCCCATGGGGGGCTGAAGAGAGAAAACAGACTATCCGGGAAATGTCAAGCTGTTGATGACAAAAGTGCTAATAAAATCTGGTCCAGCTCCTGATGCTTCGCAGAGGGAATGTTTATGGTGGGTGGGGTTCCCCCACAACCGCGCAGCTGCTTTGTGCGGTTTCCAGTCCCGCGAAGCGGCTCGGGTTCCATCTCTGTGTCCTCTGGTAAAGGCAGCTCCGAAGCCTGAGGCAGTGGGGAGCGACCCAGGGTCCCCCCCCCGCCTCCCCCCCGCCTCCGCCCCCCCACCCCCGGCGCCTTGCCCATTTCTGCTTAGCGCCCAAAAGGCACTCATCCCATGCCCCAAACGGAGCCGATCACACACAGTCGCTTTTCATATTCTTCCCGGGTGCGGTTTTCCCCGGGGAAGGTAAACAGCGCTTCCAACAGCGCTTCCAACCCGGACTGGTGAGCATTTTGGGTGGGTTGCCCAGTCCTCCTGAAGGGAGAACGGGACTTAGGAGTCAGGCCCCCCGCTTCGTACAAAGACGCACTTCTAGGCAGGGCGTCTCTGGGTGCAGCACAGCGGTTGAAGAGGCTGAGAGTGCGACAATGTCCCTTTGCTTCTCGGCCCAAGGGCTGGCCTCGAGGACGAGGAGCTCCCAGGACCCCAGTGCAAGGGCGCAAACCGTAACTCCATCGCACTCCCCCGCCCTGGCAGCTTGGCCCCCTTCGCGCTGAGGTCATCTCCCGTAGCCACGCTGCCTTCGGACCTCGCGGGCCATTTGGTCCCCGGGGGCGGAGCTCGCGGGGCAGCCCCGACAGGAGGGCGGGAGTGACCCCGGGAGGTCTCAGGGCGAGGAGGCGGAGGAGAAGGAGCAGCTCCGGGCAGCCCCGGCCGGGGGCTTTTACCTCGCCAGGGGTAAAAGCGGGGCCGCTTCCGTGACTGCTGCCTTAGAAAACATTTAACGAGAACCAGATGTGGCGGCCGCTGTCGAACTTTCTCAGAGTCGTTGATTGGTCCCCGGCCCAGGGCCGCAGCCAGTTAACGTGCTAGGAGGGTCCGGAGGCCCGCCCCACCCGGGCGCCCGCGGGGATCCAGGTTAGAGGCTGGCGCGGCGCCGCTAGTGGGCTGGCGGGCAGGGCCGGGACGCGCTGGGCGGCTGGGCAGTTCGGGGGCTAAGCGAGCATGCGGGGGGACCGGGCGGCTGGGCGGCAGGCGCTGCTGTCGCCGCCGCCGTCGTTGCTGCTGCTGCTGCTGCAGCTGTCCAGGGCCGCGGCGCTGCACCCAGGCGAGCTCTTCCCCTACGGGCAGTCTCGGGGGGACCAGCTCCTGCAGGAAGGCGACGACGAAAGCTCAGCCGCGGTGAAGCTGGCGAGTCCCCTGCGCTTCTACGAAGCCCAGTTCAGCTACCTCTACGTAAGTTCGGCCTCCTCTGGGTGCGGGATACGGCATATTTCTCGCAGCTTCTTCCCAGGGGTCCATGTAGTGTGGATCTCACCGAGCCCGTGTCTTCCGAGGGGAGGGAATAGTCCTCACGCCCCGCTGTCCGGTAGCGCCCCTGGAGTGGGACCTGGCTTTGCAGCGATGCTGCTGCCAGACCCGCTGCTTTTCCTTACCTCGAGGGAGACAGCAAGAACTGTTCGCGGTCACATAAGTGTCTGAGGCAGAAATGTAGGTGGGGGTGCTCGGGCGGCCAGTGGGGTTTCCAGTCGGGACAGCTAGAAGCCTGTGCACGTCTGCAGAGCTGAGGTGCTCCCTCCCCGGACTCAGGGATTTCCTCCCCTGTTTGTGCGGGAAGTGAGAAGATATACGAACTAGTTTGGGGGCTCCTGGACCTACTGCAATGCGCTGTAGGGTAGGAGTGGCGGGTGGGACAATGGCTGAAGTTGCGCTGGTCGCCTTGAACCCGGAGTCAGACCCCCAGTAGATGGGGAGGCGGGCGCCTGATGTCCAGGGCGGTTCCCTCCCCTTCATGCCGAGCCCGGTGGGCGCGCAGATCTGGACCTGTGGTGGCCGCCCTTGGCTTCTTGCAGCGAAACGACCATTTGTCCCCCTTTTGTGCCCTTCTTCTCCCAGGTGGGCACCAACGGCATCATCTCCACCCAGGACTTCCCCAGGGAGACCCAGTATGTGGACGATGGTTTCCCCACGGACTTCCCAGCCATTGCTCCCTTTCTGGCTGACATCGACACGAGCCAGGGCAGGGGCAGAGTCCTGTACCGCGAGGACACGTCTCCGGAGGTGCTGGGCCTGGCAGCCCGCTACGTGCGCGCAGGTTTCCCCCGCGCCGCAGCGCACTTCTCCCCTACCCACGCCTTCTTGGCCACCTGGGAGCAGGTGGGCGCCTACCAGGAGGCCACGCGCGGGGAGCCACCCTCGGGACAGGTAAGTGACAAGGGATGCTTGGCCGCTGAGCCAATTGAGGGATGATGGGCTTGAATTCTGGGCTGGAACCCAGGGAATGGCTTGGAGGTTTTTGAGTCTGCTCTGGCGCTGAACCTGATGTGTCCTTTGGTGACACCAGGGCTAAACTGGCTTGGAAATGAGCCTCCAGGCTTCCACTAAGGACCTGAGAGGTGGTCACTTTTAGCAAGGAAAAGTGCTTAGGGGATAAGAGGGCCCCAGAGCAGATGCGGAAGGCCCTCAGAACACAAGGCGCTTTACTGTTTGGTTGTTTATTTTTAGAATCACCCCTAAGTGTATACAAGAATTATTTCTAATTATATGTTCATTGAAAGAGAAACATAAGCAAATACGGGCAATTTAAAAAAGAACAACCACTCATTTTCCTATCACTCACAGATAACCACTGTTAAACATTTTCCTGTGTATCTTCCAGAGGTTTTTTTTCCCCCCCTATCAATATCTGTATTTTATCTGTCACTGTCTATTAGCAAGATGGGTTCACACTGCACATACTGTTTTGTAGCCTACTTTCCCCCACCTATGTAGTATATTGTGAATATGTTTCAATGTCAGCAAATCCATTTCTACAACATCATTTATAATGTCTGCATAATATTTTTTCCAGTGGATTTACCCAGTGGTCATTAAGTTTTTTTCCAGTTTTTCATTATAAATAACTTTGTGAAGCACTTTTTCTTTTTAGCTAAATCTTTATGAATGTTTTTAGTTGACATTCCAGGATGTAGAATTGGGGGGCCAGAGAGGAGCCAGTTTTTATAAGGTTCTTGGTCGCTTTGCCAAATTGCCCTCCATGTATCAGTTCACATGCCCCCTAGTTTACAGGAGACTGTCCTCGACTCATTTTGTAGTCTCTACCTGAGAAAGTAAAACAACCCAAGTTCCCAGTCTTTAGGTTTGGCAGCAACATTTGAAGTACTCCAAATGGACATTTGCCAGGGTGGCAAATGGTGGACTGCCTCATTCCTGAAGTAAGTAAGGGCTTCCTCCTATGAAATTAGAGCCGAATCTAAAGTGTCATACACCAAGGGTTGGAACTCATAATTTATCTCTATTTGAACTCATCAAAGTGTTTCTTAGCTACAGAAAGATGGCACATCTTCTCCCTGAGAAGTCAAGTAGCTTGTCCATGCTCACTAAGTAGCTCAAGATGGTGGCCATCCTTGTTTTGTGCTCTGTAAGAGAAATATTCTCTAAAGCAAAGAAGCAAAAGCAAAGAAGATCTAGAAATAAAAAGTGTTTGAATTTATTATTTTTTTTGCTGTTCATTTTTTTGTCAGGCAACATCTAGTTTTGTTTATTAAATAGTTTTTTAAATATATGATTTGACTTTTTAATTATTCAAGTCAACATAATACATTCAATTCAAACAAATACATTGAGCACCTCCTTTGTGCAGGGCACTGGGCGAGGGGGAGGGTTGCAGAAGGTTGAATAAGGTAAGGCTCCACCATTATGTTGCATTCATTCATTTTTGTTTATAAGTTTTAAAAGCACTTAAAATTAAGTATAATACACCTATAATAAAAAATTTCAGTTTATTTTAAAATAAGAAAATAAACATTATTTATTATTTCACCAGCCAGCGGTCAACACTGCTAATACTTTGTATTTTCTTCGAGTCTTTTTTTTTTTAAACATGTATCTTATATGTGCCATGTTCATATAGGTATAATTTACGTTTAAACATAGTTGAGATTTATTCATCCGACAAACCTTTTTTGCATACTTGCTGTATGTCAGGACTGATATAGACACTGTGGAAGTACATACTATTTACTTCCAAGGATCTCATAGTTTTGTAAAGACATTGATTATTTGTTCAATATGATAAAAATAGTAGCATCTTGATTTAGGAGACTAACTCTAACCCTCGCTGGTTAGGGGACATGATCTGGGAAGGTTTCAGTGAGGAAGTAGCTTTGAATCTGAGTTGAGCAGAGTGGAACGTTCCCAATAGAAAGGATAGCATATGATATATCACCCATGTACTGTAAAGTAGAATGTGTCTGGGTCATTACATGAGGTACATTATTATTGAAGAGGAAGGGTGATGAGAGGGAGCTGGAAGGGCCATGGGGAGGGGCCACATCATGCTGTGCTGGGAGTTTGGACTTGGTTCTTTGGCATTGGACAGCCTTTGAAGGATTTTAAGCAGGGGATTGATATTTTTTTGGTAAAAGAGCTCTTTCTGAGCTCTGTATTGAGAATATGAGGGCATAAAAGGAAAAATCAACTACTTAGACAAGATAAATGTTTATTCAAGCTATCTTTTTAATTCTGATAACAATATTTTATCATACTGTCTTCCCACAACAATCCTACAAGATAAGTACAAGACTTGTTTGCATTTCACAGATAATGGCAAATAGAAGTTAATGCTATTATCCAGAGTTCTGCTCTTAGTGAGGCAAAGACAGGTTAAGAATACAGATTTCTTGATTCTTTTCTTTGGTTGTTGTTGTTTTTACCCAGACTTTTCACAAAAGACTCATTTCCTTGGCACAAGTGATGAAGGTAGACACAACAATAGTTGTGCCTTTTCCAAAGACTTCCAAGAAATAAGTCTGGAGTTTTATTGTCTTGATGTGATATTAGTACCATAGGAGTCCTAGGAATCATATTTCATTCAAAGGAAGAATGAACTTGGAATTAAATCTGCTGCCAAGGACTCTATTGAGGCCTCATTACTTCTAAATTAGTATTACAATACTCTGGAGAGAATCAGCTGTATCTGTCTTTTTCAACAGAGGAAAGAAAGTTCAGTTGAGTAAGAGGAATAGGGGAGATGAGTAGTTGCACAGAAACTCTGGGGTGATGAAGTCATGCTATATCTTTAAGTCCCAATTTTGTCAGGGCTTATTTGAAACCAAAAATTACAATATAGACAAGGTGACTTTGATAATGATTTTTTTCAATTTCATCTGTAACATGGGAATGCTGTGTCACTTACCCAACTTTCAGGTTGGTTGTGAAGACAATAATAACAAAGAGAAAAACATTTTTGAAAGGAAAAGTGTTTATGAAAGGTTATCCAGTGATTTTGGAAGCAATGACTCAGTCTTAGTTTCCACACCTGTAAAATGGAGTAGCATTGTCTAACTTGCAGGATTGTTGTGGGAATTCACTAAAGAGACATTAGGCAGCCACTGTAGTCCCTTACACCTAGCTGGTGTGGCCTATTTGTGTTCACCTTTGTTGGCATGATGGGACCTGGTTCTGGTTCTTTTATTTCTCTATCATGTAAGGATGCTGTGATTCAAGTCCTTTACATAAGGACTCTTTAAATATAAGGTTTTCTGACTTGCAATTTCCATCTAGACTTTTTTTGGGTGGGGAATGTGGGAAGATTTGTAGATTCCATCTCTTTTACTTTTCCAGTTAAAATCAATCTTCAGACATTGCCATATGCTGAGTTGGCTTCGGAATTTGTTTCATTGAGAAAGGAGATGAGGATTCTGTTTGGAAAAAAGACGTTTTTTCAATTACCCATGTTGAAGCATCTTCTGAATACTTCAAAGTGCCCTATGACTTGACTTCTCGTTTTAATAGTTCTTTGGAGGTAGATTTTGGCAAACAGTAACCTACCTTGCTTGAAGAACTGCCTGAGTTCTACATGGCTTTCTTAAAACTGGGCGTACTAACCTTATGTTGCAAAGTTAGTGGAGACTTGAAGATATCAGAGGAATGGCATCTTTACGATTTAAAACAATTTCAGTTGTTGCCCTTTCTCTCCCTGGATATTCATGGTGGGTGTGACAGGATGTTGTAGCTGATACTGCAGGAATGTCAAGATGTAACCACATCTAAAATAGTATAAACAAATAGCGTTTATCAATTCAGTTAATCTCCTTGAACTGTAATAGATACTTGACTGACCGAAGAAGTCACTGTATTGACCTTCAAAGAACTTATTGACAGGAGACAGAAAGAGGACCAGTGATTACTTTAGCTGTGTGGGTTTTTTGGGGGGAGAGGGGGAGGGATGTGGTAGGAGTATTGTTTTGTTATTGTTTGAGGGATGGGGGTTATAGAGAACTGGGTTACACAGATCCTTAGGAGAATGTTTTGTTGACCTGGATTTTAAGTTGGGCTCAAAGAGCTGAAAGAATGGATCTTGAGAATGAGACAGCAGGATAGATTGTTCTGAGCTAGGTTGTGTCCTGGGAGAAGGCTGGGAGAGCTGAGGCTGGAAAAATGGATGAAGGGATTTGTGGGGTAGTAACATAAGATAAGTGGGATGTTGGCCATTGGCAGTCTCAAAGTGGGACTGAGTCATGTTGACTCATTTCAAAGGATGATAGTCATGGATGGAGGGCATTGGATCCGCAGCAAGAGAATGAGAGGTAAAAGCAGGACTTTGTTGTGACTTTTTGACTTCTGGAGCTGATGTCCAGAAGAAAGGAGGTTTGCAGCCTCTCTGAAAGAGTTTAACCTAGTTTAAGACATAGTTATGAAGACATAGAGAATAGAGACAGAAAAGGAAATTAGTTAAAGAAAGGCTGAAGTTTTGCTGAAGACTAAGTGTCTGAAAGGATATAACATTAGGGATGTGATAGCACTGAGCATTTATCCTTGAATGTTCGGCAGGATCTGTAGGATTTAGGACAGAAAATGAATAAGGGCAAGTCATGCATGTGACAGTGTCATACAGGTAATGGGAGATGGAGAATTATACTAAGGAATGGAGGTTAGTTTTGACACCAAACACTGGACAACAGAAGTCAGTGATGCTACAACCGTAGAGCACGTGACCCTAAGCAAGACAGGTAAGAGAACTTTGTGACCCTTTCAGGAGTCATTCTACTGATTAATTTTCATTGCGTTTTTTGTAAGCCACTATCAGCAAATCCTTTTGGGACAAGGATGGCACTGTTCTGATTTTTTGCAAGATGACTGAAATTAATGAAATGAATTGAAAATATTAGGAACTCGTAGATGGGCGTGTTTTGTACCCATCAGCTTTACTCTGTCGAGTGTCAGTCAGGTCGGCATTGACTGGTGATGCCCTGTACCTGGAAGGGAGAGTCGGACTCCTTCTGCCTGGTCTGCTGACAGTTCTGGCTTTTCTCTCTTTCTGATAACAGGATGGCGGAAACCTTGAGGCTTGGCAGCTGCTGGCCCTGATCCTCCCTGTGCCGCTTCTCCTCCCATGGAGGCCCCCTGTCTCCTCTCTGGGAGACTTGGGAACCGGTGACCCTTCTGTGGAGTTTGGCAGCCCATCTGAGGGTTTCCCTTCAGAGACAGAGCTTGTGGGGTTCTTGCAAAGGCTTGTCTCTAGGAATGTGAAGACCTTTCCGGTCTGGAAGCCAGGAAAGGAGTGCTTTGGGAGAAGGAGCAGCCCTTCAGGACTTCATGAAGGGAACTTGTTAGCAATCAGTTGTAGAATTTTGTGGAACTGAAAGAGAACTTTTAAAGTGATCATTTGGTGTGTGGGTGGTTTTTAAACAGCCAAAGGCTTTTGGTGTGTACTGTGGGATCCTAAATTCTATTTAAAATTCTTCTTCTATTTGCCAACCTTAGTGGAGACACGTAGATTAAATGCTTGCCTGCCACCTGTAATAAGTGCTTGTCTCAGGGATGGCTTGTAACAGACAGTGGATACATTTTCATTGAAACGAATTTGTTGACTGACTGACTGAAAGAATGAATAAAATTGAGAGCTAAATACCCAAACGCACCATAAAAGCCAGACTCTCCCCTTCACGGTTCTGTTTGTTTACTTTTCCCCATGCCTTCCTCCCCCATTCCCTTCAATTCCTTCACAATCTATAGTCTCACCTTATCTTATAGAATTTCTCTAAATTGAGAACCAGAATGTTTTCCTATCTCACATTTATTGTGGGCAATCAATACCAGGAGCTTTGAAAGCTTAGCTTTTTGAAACAGTTTCTTTCTCCTTCCTTAAGTACTTTTGTTTCCCTAGTTGAACTTTATTTATTCTGACTAAAGTAAAACTCTGAAGTTATTGAATCAACATTAATTGATGATGTAGTAGATACAGAAAATGCCAAAAAAAAATGTATACACATTGTAAGAAAGGAAAAAACTGCATTAAAATTACGCTGATGGTAACCACTTTGAGCACCTCTTGTAATTGCAGAAGTCAAACGTGATTTGTATTCATCTTTTGTTATTGGTATATATTGAGTAAATTTTGATACAGTTTTCTCCTTGCTTAAAATGTGTATACATTTTTTTGGCACCCTCTGTATTACACATAGACATCAGGCAGAACAGCCTTTGTTTACATTTGGCAGAAGTTCTGGCTTCCCAGCTTTGAGAAATTCTGGAAAACATCCCTTGCCTTTTGTTTTTGGGAAAGTCAAGCTTTGCTGATGAAACAATCAACAACTACAACAATAAATATACTAGCCCCCTTCTCCCCCCCCACACACCCCTTAACTAAGTTTGTGAACTTAAGAAAAGCAAGGAGCAAAGCCCAGCAAGGTGATCTTTTCTATGTTAGAGACTAGAAGAAAGGTTGTGTAGCATTTTGGTTTTTCTTGAAAAGCATTTTAGCACCTGAATTTCTTTGTCCTATAAGCAAAACCTCAAAACTATACTTGGAAATTAAACACTGAAAGAAGAATGTACCTTAGGAAATGGTTTGAGCACCACATGGGGAAGGGCCCACAGGACAGATCAAAATACAGTGCACATTGCTCGCGTTTGCTGTTTTATTTGGTAAAACAGTAAAACATTCTAGTCTCTGAGCCTAATTTTATCTGTCTAGCAAAATGGGGAGACGCTACTACTTACCAGTAAATAATGTTTGTAAGTCATATTATTTAGGAAGCAGTGGTTTTGATAAATACCTCCCCAGCTCCCTACTAAATTGTAAAAGGAGTGGGGTTTAGTGAGAGAGATGTTCTCATTGGGGGAGAGAGGGGAGATAGTTGGATGTAGATAAAGGCAAAAAGTTTTCTTGTTGAAAATCTGAGAGAAGCTGAACTTTAAGGAGTGATTCTTTAAGGACCTGGGTGTGGACTTTGTGGCCAATTCAACTCGTGTTGTCTCTTTCTGGTCTGCTTTGGCTCCTGCTGTGTTTATTAGCCTTCCCAGGCTGCCTCTGAGATGCCTCCCCACCCAACCCTAGGCCTTGGGCACATACCCTCCTCTGTGGCCTCTTCTCTCTCCTTCAATAACTGCTAGAATTGCAGCTACGGCTGTTTCCCTCTCCTAAGCTGGGAGGCAGAGTCTCATCCTTTGCGCCTTTGCTTCTTCAGGACCAAGCATGCCTGCTGCTCAGCAGACACTTGGCTGTTTGAATGAATGTACAAATGAATTAACGAATGGAGTTTGCAAATACATAAACAGCTAATCAGGCAAAATGAGGTGAATGCTAACTAGAAACACCCAGAGAGGTGTTATGGAGTGTTAGTGGGCAGAAAAAAATGTACAGGGATTCCCAAAACACCCCAGCGGGGCAGCACCTAAAAGGTTATTTAGGAGGGTTTCCAGGCACAGGGCAGATGTGAGCAAAAGTACAGAAGCATCAGGGTACGTGGGACAAATGGGGAGTATTAAATAGTCTGATGGAGATGCACCCGATCTGAACCTGGGAAGAGAAGGTTGGGGCAGGTTACACATCACCTCACATGGCATGCTCAGGGATAGTTAGGATGGCCTTGTGGTGCTGGGTATGGACTTGAGCTAGCTGGCCCGCCTCGCTGAACTAGCGACGTGACCTTAGGCAGGTCCATTAGCCCCTCTAGCTCTGTTGCCTCATTTTGAAATGAGGGTAGGATAATTCTGGTGTTGGTGTGAAAAGATAGATAGAAAAGAGAGTAATGCTGTGAGAAGAGTAAGGAGGCCTTTTGATCACCAAGGGCCTAACACTGTGCCTGCCCACAATGGGCATTCAATAAATAGGTGAAGGAATGAGTGAACGAATGAACGAATGAACGAATGAATGAATGAATGAATGAATGAATGATCCAGATGAGTGTCCAGGGCAGTAAACCAGGGCAGCGGTGGTGGGAATGTACAAGTTATATTTGCTACTTGCTCTCAGCTCCAAAAGAGGTTTGGATGAGAGATGTTTGAAACCTTTAAAGATATTATTTTTTTAACTCGTGGTGTTTTTTATTTTTACCTATGCACATTTTAACTATTAATCTAAATTGGTAAAAGATAATTATAATAATATACTTATAAAATATATTGTAACTGGAAGAGGAAGTTAATATTATGTATAAAAACAATTTGGAGAAATCCTAAGAAGGGGAAGATCCCTTTGTACTTTACGATGCTTTGCTTGCGTTCTGGTCTTTTTCTTGTTTGTTTCATTAAGAATATTTCCTTTTTTTTTTTCCTTCACAGCTGAATACTTTTCAGGCAGTTGTGGCATCTGATGAGTCTGATACCTACGCCCTGTTTCTTTATCCTGCCAATGGCCTCCAGTTCTTCGGAACCCGCCCCAAAGAGTCCTACAACGTCCAGCTCGAGCTCCCAGCCCGGGTGGGCTTCTGCCGAGGGGAAGCCGATGACCTAAAAAGAGAGGGACCGTATTTCAGCTTGACTAGCACTGAACAGTCTGTGAAAAATCTCTACCAGTAAGTGCCATAGGGCTTACATCCTTTCCTGTTGGAATGTAAGAACCCTTAGGAGCTACCCAAACTTGAGTGGCCATAAGACCACTATATTATTCCTTGGCGGTTTCTAAGCAAGGCATCAAATCAAAACCAGGACAGGATTAGACCCTGAGAGGAGCACGATCACCAAAATATAAAAGGTCCTTTGTTTTTCTTGATCTATTAGCTATAGATACCTGAAACAGCAGGGTGTGTGTGTGTGTGTGTGTGTGTGTGTGTGTGT